AGCGCCCAACAATAAAATATAAGGAAAAAGGACCTCCCGGGATGTCTACTGACAAGGGAGTGAATAATTTGTTAGATAATTCTGTAAATAAGTTTAAAGCTTTAAATCTTGATAGCTCTGATGACTCTAAAAGCTCAAGAGATAAAGTTTTAGAGGAAACAGCTCAGCTAGGTAAAAAAGAAACAAAAAAGGAGGGAGAGAAAATAGGGAATAACCGGTCACACCCCGGTAAATTTAAGAGAAATAAAGACTCAAAACCTAGCCTCTGCCCTACAATGAGACTAGAGGCCTTGGAGCTGAGCAGATAAAGGGGACATTGGAAATATTAAACAGTTGTCTTTTCTGTCCAAGGAAACTTTGCTGTATACACTTCTGCATTTTTGTCACTGTTTGTTGTCAATACTTCACATGTGTATGGTATTGGAAGTGTAGGTGATGGAAATAAACAGTGGGCTTAGGTGGCTCAGTCTTTTCAGTTATGCCTGATTGCCTCAAAGTTATGAGGACCTGCGTTCAGGTTCCCAGGACTCATGGAAAAAGCCTGGTGCATATCAATGGTGTAATGAGAGGTACGAGGATCCCTGGAGTTGCTGGCCAGCTAATCTAGATCACTTGGGAGACACAGGCCAATGAGAGACCCTGTCACAAACAAAAGAAGGAAGGTGCCCAAGGAATGACCCTTGAGGTTGTCTTCTGACTCCATACACATGGGCAACCTACACACATGAATGTACATACATATTCGTGTACATACATGCACACAAACTGATGAAAAATACTTCTAAATAAAATTTCCGTAGAAATATGTGGCACTGAAGCTCTAACAAATGTAGTTATTGGGAAGACATATTCAGAACAATAGATAATTTCAAGTTTACCTACAATGGAATAAATATGTTACAAACACAGACTTATTTTCTCATGGGTCTCACTCTTCTGCTTCCCTTAGTTCCATCTTACCATCACCTGTTACAAGACTGTGCTTTTGTCAGTCCTTCCTTTACTTCTGAGGTTTATAATCTTGTCAGTCCTACTTCTTAACTTACAAATATGCTCTACTTTACTTTTATATAAAGCCAAATGCAGGATCACAAATACTTTACCTAACGGTCTTACTACTACTTTACATTTGAGTCTTTGCCTCTGGGTTGCTGGCTGTTTAATCTATGAATTTTACCTAATTTTTCCTATCTTGGTGTTTTTTTTTTTTCTTTTCCTCCTACCTCCCTTTTATTAAAATTAAATAGTTGGAATATTCTGAAAGGACTTTTATCCTGTGTGGTATTTTTTTTTTTTTTTGTATTTTTCAGAGCATTAAATGAAATGTGGAAATGTCAAAATTTACTCCGACACCAAGTAAAGGATTTGCTTGATTTAATTAAACAACCAAAAGTAAGTTAAATTTTAAAGAAAGAATTTTAGAAAGTTTGTATAATCATCACCATAATTGTAGCTTAGTATCTTTATAAGTTTACTGAGAATGAATATTCTAGTGATTTTTATTATGGTGTTATCTGTGTGTACATAGGCTTGAAAACAGTCTCAGGTGTTTCCTCAGTGCTATCTGTTACTGTTTTTTGTGAGTTTTGTTTTGTTTTGTTTTGTTTTGCCATAGGGTCCTTGAGTGATTCTGAACGCAGGACAAAGTGTGTTTGTTTTCTTAAACATTTTAACATCAGACCTAGGATATGATCCTGACAGGATTAGACTGAGCTCCATTTAGAATGAATGTGCCTCTACAAAACATCACCATCCCAAAGTAGCAAAAGTGAGGCTCGGGATGAACATGATGGTTTGTTATCTGAAGGCTGGAGTCTCCACAGCCGAAGCAACTGCAAACAACACCCATGCCTATTCCAAAGCTGAAAAGCTATGACTGCTCAAGTTAACTGTCAGCTTTGTTTTATGCTGGTTTCAACTTCAGTTTCCTCGGTTATTACATGAGCATAGTGATAGTTGCTTTCTTGAAGGTTGTGGTGGGGATTAAAGCAGATAAGATATGTGCAATGGTTATGGTAATGTGTAGCAATAACCATATACTACTAGCATAACTGTTATTAACTCTGGTTGTCCTAGATCACTGTAGAAGACACATGCTTTTCTGCAAAGGAATACTTGGGATGATAGATTCTTGCTCCTGAACTAGCACATTTCTGGGACTAACATAGGACTTAAGCCATAAGTTGCCAGTCAAGATGAAGCAATTAGAGGGTGAATTATCCAAGGTTTGCTTTGTCCAGAGACAACCTAAATGTTCCTCTGTGCCAAAAATGCCTTATAGGAAATCTATCAGATTCATACTGCATATATTGCAAAGCCCAGAGCTGTCAAGTTTCCACTCTACCCACTTGTCATCTTAGATTCTTCCCAACTCCATGTTCCATCAGCAACCAGTCAAGCTGGACAAAGGGGCCATCAATTAAACTTATTTAATATTCACAGGACTAGACATCTTGCAAAAATGCAATCTCTTTTACAATAGCATAATTGTGGAAGAGGTGACAAATTCTACCTTCCAGACAAAGGGCATTATACCAAAATTTCACTTCAGTATAACCTCAGGGGTTAAGTTGTGGGAAGATAAAACTTATCTCATTCAAAAGATCTATCAGTGGGTATTTGAAATTGGAGAAATACTGAAGTGGGTATGGGGGTTTGTATTTAATTTTTCCTGAATGACACCTGGAGGCTATTCATTATATATAATCATACCTCACTACACACTAGACTAGTGTTCAAGGAAGAGCTTGGGGATTCTGGGTGAGGATGCTTATGGCAGCCCTATCCCTGGCTATTAGCAAGCTCTTCTAATATCCACCAGTATGCCTAACAGCTATTTCCACTTTATATGTGGTTGGGACTAGAAAAAGTTAGGTACCACTGACTTAGGAAATAAGTTCATTTTCCAGAGTCACTTCATTTGTAACAATGGCAAAGATTAAGCACTGGTTGCTTATTACACTTCCTGATAATGACACTTATATGTTCTAGGGAGGCAAGATATGTATTATTTTTTATCTTGATCTCAGTCTTGTAGCCAAAACTCTATGCAATCATTGGTTTGGTTCTTCCTTCTCCACATCCTCTCCCCATTTGTAAGGGATTCAAATGCATTGAGGATTTAAGAACAGCAAAATAGTGAGAGATTGTTACCTATGCCACCAGGGAAGGCAGAACTCCTATAGGAACCAGATTATTCATAGATAGGCTATGAGTGCCAACATCTTTGATAACTATCAGCTACAGAAGGACTATGAGAGACAGAGATGTTGGATGAGTCCAAGAAAATTGACAAAGCTGTCCAAGATCTTAAAAGAAACCATCAGACACATTTCCCCTGGATATTATCGCTTTCAAAGTAAACCAAGTAAATTAGTGAAATGCTTGTTGCCAACAGGAAACCCAACTGGATTTACTCAAGCTTCTTCCATTGACATCCAGAGCATGGCTCTAAAGGAACACACTGCAGGGCAGATTAGGGCAACTCATGCTTCATGGCTATTGTTCACTTACCCCAGACAGCCATGAACACAGCAAAGAACACAGTGGCTCCATTGTCAAAAAGGTGGGTCACCTGGGAATAACAGAATCCATTCAGCTAGTTTATCATGAACAATAATTTAACTTATTTTTAATGCTGCACAAAATAGTTATGGTGACACTGTGAGCTTTGTAAGGGTACTTGTTCAATATTCCCCTTGACGATGAGTAAGAAGAGGGTGGGTGTCTTCCAACTGTGAAGTTCAGATGTGGAGGAAAGAGTTTGTCCCCTTACACCAGGATCATGCATTTGAACACTGGTCAGCAGCTCCAATAGTGCTTCAAAGAATTCCACTTGTGTGCCTTAAAAACTCTTATACATCTATATAGAAATGGGTATAATTATACTTAGGGCCAGGGAGGTGCTTTTGTTGTTGGTTTAAAAGGTCTTAACTCCCCAAACACTGTTTCTAATGTCTCATTTATTCATTTCAGAGACATAGCTATTTTGCTCCTATAATTTTGTGGGTTACTTTACATTTCAGCATTATAAATACAAGAGACAGGAACCATTATAAAATCCATTCTCACTGTACTTGCCGCTTCCTATCACCCAAAGAGAGTTGGCAATGCCTTTTCACCAGAATGTGATCTAAAGTTCTATTCTTACTATGAAACAGTCACACCCATTTCCACCTCCATTCTAAATCACACAAAGTCCATGGCAAACTGATGACTGACAGTTTCATAAAACATAGCTTTTTGGGCATCTTATGTTTCCCTAGTAAAGTACACTTTACTGTCTCTGGAGAATACACCCAGCATAAACAGGTATTTTCTTGCCATATCATAGTATTAAGCGTTTTCCCAAATTTTATGCTCTCTTGTTCTTTAAATGGAAGAGAGATGGGTAGCATTCAAACACTAAATGTGACATAAATATCTAAATCCTAATCCTTTTGTATGCCAGATGGAATGTTGTGCTGGAATCCCCCACCCCGTATCACATAATCCTGGCAGCACTAGTGGTACATGGTGGGTTCCGGCTCCCTATCTGGATATTTGGTGAATGCAGCAGCTTGTAACATGAGGGCAGGTTCTTGGTTGAATTGTGGCTGTCATTTTGGGCTGCCTACATTATTCCCACCACACAACAGATGTCTCTCATGCTGTTTCCAAGGAGTACATGGATAGTAGGACCCAGTGGAGTACTTCCTTGGGACAGGATATAAACATTGGAAGAGACAGTTTTCTGCTGTGGTCATCAGTGTGAATCAGAATAGCTGAGAAAATGAGGACTTCTGGTTCCCAGTACAGTGGTAGTCTAGCTCATCTGATGCTTCCCTTGGCCAAATCCCACCAAAGAACAGCAAGAGAACAGACTCTATGTAGTAACAAAACACGAGGACCGAAAGATGTTTCAAGTAGATGGGCAGTGGTCTCAAACTGATTTGTGTGGGGCATATGTATATATGGACATGTGTATGAGTGTGAGTTTACATGTGTGCATGTATGTGTGAAGGCCTAAGATCAATTCCAGGTGTCTTCTTTGATTGTTCTCCACATTATGTATTGAGGTGAGGTCCCCCAGTCAAGCCCAGAGCTTTGCTGACTCAGCTAATATAGCTAGCTTGCCTAGGGGGTTCCAAGTCTCTGCCTCTGACATGCTAGGATTACAGGGAAGATGTCATATCCACCTGGGCTTTACTTGGGTGATAGAGGACCTGAGGCCCCCTCCTCACATTTTCATGACAAATGCTTTACCTGCTCAGCTATCTTCGAAGCCCAACAGACACTTTCTGAAGAAACATAGACCCTAGGATAACAGAATAAAAACTGCGGCAATGTTTTAATGTTGGGGATAAAACCCAGAGTCTCATACCTGCTAGGCAAATGCACTACCACTGAGTTTTATCCCCAGTCCAAAGACCAAGAATTTAAAATGAGCACAAAAAGGATACTTAAAGAGAAAGGAAGGAAGACTGAAGCCTAGAGGCTCGGCCATCTTCCCATCACAGGAAGGGAACCTGTCTGCAGAACTGTGCACAAGTGTACTGGAGAGTCACTTGGGGGTCTGGAGGGTGCCAGTTCTAGGCTGGGAGCCATTTTGTGATTTTATTGTTTTTTTTTCTTTTTTGCAGAAAACAATAAGCTTGTCAGTGTCTCCCTGTTTATATCAGTTGGAGGTAGATTTCAGACGCGTGTGCTTGCCAAGGATGAGGGTAAGGTATTATCTGATGATGAGAAAAGCAGCTGCTGGCTGGGCTGGACCTACTCTCTGAATAAGACCCACAAACTCACCCTGACATTCTAATACATGCTTCTAAAGGAAGTCTGTAGAACTCTGATTCTGTCATCCTTGCCTTTTGTCTAAAGTTTTTAGGGAAGGCCAAACACAAAATTCAGAGTCTAACATCTTACAGCTCAGCAGGTCCTGGTGGTAAAGAAGCTATGTTGTGTGGTCTGGTAAATGGAGACCCACCTTTATCAGGTGTCCTATGAGTAAGGATGAGTAGGTATTAGTTTTCTGAATAAAATGGTGAAAATGACCCCTGCCTTGAAATTGACATGCAGGCTGGAAATAACACATGCTTCCTAGCAATTATGGAAATAACCTATCATGAAAATCAGAATTATTTTAGATTCCTGATAGAATTACTGCCAACAGAAGCGCCTATGAAATTTGAGCACTCTGAACTATTCACAATGGTTAACTGAAAGAATTATTAAAGATTTCCTGGGAAGGGAATTTCACCCAACCAACTCTTTTCACATTAGAAATTATTTCATAAGGAACACACACACACACACACACACACACACACACACACACACACACACACACACACACACGACACCAACACACACACACACACACACACACACACACGACACCACACAAAGACCAAACCATAGCAATTTGATGGTTTCCGAAAGCAGGCTTTTAAAACATAAACCTCATGACTTTTCAGTAAAATTGTATTACTGACAAAGTTCCTGATTTCTTAAATATACATTTCCCAAAATTGCTTTGCTTTAGTTGTCCTTATAGCCTCAGTCTACATGTCCTCTAAAGACAGGGAGAGGCACTGAGTGCTTTTCTGGTCTCTTGTAACATACACTCAGAGCCCAGATTGTTTTAGACAAAGTTGACTGCTGCGCTTGGGCTCTACCCACAGGACTCGCCACCTGCACTGCTGGAGCTATTATGAATAGGCTGTGGGCTGCCTATCAAGTGTTCTCATGTGCTAAGTGAACAAAACAATGAAAAGCCAACAGAGTAATTAGACAGATCCAGGCTGCTGTAGTCACGGATGTCTGATAAAATCTGCCAACCTCTTTTATATCTGGAATTTTGGCAAACACATAGGCAGTGGATCTTAGGAAAGACTACATTGACCTGAACTCTAGCTTTTGTTTGCAATTATGATACTACCCTGAAGCTAAAAAATACACTAGCAATTTAATTAATGTATTTAATATTTTGTTAAAAATATATCATGAGAAGGGGGTCTGAGATGGTACATGACAGAAATCATAGTGTCATGTCCTGAGCATTTTCCAAAGCATTCTTCAGCTATCAGGATGTGTCATGTAGTGGGTCAGAGAGGACTGGCACTTACTGTGTTTAAGAATGACAAGCTTATTAGTCCCAGAAAGGCAATATCTACACACGGTCAATGGACAGGTAGCTGAGCTGCACTTGATTATTGGCAATAATGATAAAGGAAAGCTAAATAGCCACAACTGTCATATACTGAGATCTTATTGTGTTGCATGTTCATTTTGTAGATGAAAAGAATCTCAGGATCATGCAGCTTAAATAACTCGCTCTTGACAAACAAATGGTAGAGAGTAGAGTCAAAATCAGAACCTGCATGTAGCAGAGGTCTCCAAGAATAACTCATGGATGTCTAGGCTCCTGGTTAGTCATGGAATGTCTAGAGTAGGGGCTTCAGCCATTTTCTCTGTCATGGATCCCTTTAGAGTCTGTTAAAACCTGTGCATCTATGATGGGTAATACTGAGTTGACAACTTGGCAGGATATGGAATCACTTAGAAGACAGGCCTCTGGCCATGCCCATGAGGGATTATCTGGGGGGAGGGATTGATTTTCTTGATTAGGTTAACTAATGTGGAAAGCTCCATCCTGAAAGTGGGCAGCATCATCCCCTGGGCTTGGGTCTTGGACTGTACAAACAAGAGGAAGCTAGCTAAACACAGATTGATCCTCCCACACTTCCTGACTACAGATGCAACGTGTTTCCTAGTCCTGCCACGGTATCTTCTCAGCCATGTTGGGTGTTACCTTGAAATCACAAGGCAAAATCATGCCCTCCTTTGTTAAGTTCTTTTGTCAGAATTTCATCACAGCAGCAGGAAAAGAAGTTAAGCCAGTATCCTTCTATGACCAATCTTGTAAAATGTAAAAAGATGAAGTCTGTTGCTTCCCAGTCTTTGGCTAAGATCATGTGTAAAAATAAAATTCACTGGATTACAAAGAAGAAAACAACACAAATCACATTGATGCTCACAGAGTTTACATCATGAGAGATCTGTGTCATTGCTCAACATGTAATCAGTAATAAATACAAACCACTCCAACAACAACAGAAACACAAACTGATCTTCCCTTAACTCCAACATCTGTGCTCCTTGCACCAGGCCATGATGCAGTGTCTTGTGATGGTGCCTGGAGACACATCTTTTAGACACACCACATTCAAAAGGATATTTGCATTGGAATGCTAAATGCTGATGTTCCCATGGCACAGCATAATTTGAGGTTCAAACATGGGAAATAATAGAGGAATATAGTTGCCCAGTGTTCCACAGAAAGCTTATATTAAATTCTCTCCTACCACAATTCTGCCTGTTTAGACTTACCTTGGCATAAACACAGCTGTCAGACAGCCTCATGAATGGACAGTATTTGTCACACACTGGACACATGATGATATCTGTCGCTTGGCAGACTTCTTTACTGAAAAAGAGAACAGAGAAGGACTGCCTCTTGATGACGCAGAGTATTTTTCGGTCCTTCCTCTAAAACATTGCTAGAATGTCCAACTGATAAATAAGACCCAATATATTCATTTTATGCCCCCAGAAACTTTTCAATCTTTCCTGATGTTAATGTAAATAGCCCCTGCAGGTTTTAATATTGTGATAAACCTTATAAATAAATAAACCTTATTTATAAATGTTTATTACCTTACTTATAAATAAGCTTTATTTACATATTAATAAATTAAACTCAGGGAAATACATGAAGAAAAACATTTGTTATACCCCAAATTGTACCAAATGAGCCCTTCACACAACATTTCACCATTGAGTCATTTTCATACTGAATTATGGAAACAGGGAGATACCCTAAAAGCCTGCCTTCATTTCTATGTGTATGAAAAAGAATCAATAAATTGGAGGAATAACTAAAGATTTTAATCCTTAGATAAAACCAAGTATTAAACATGTCATAGAGAGTAAAATATTTCTGTAGGCAGGAGGCAAAAATCACTCATTCTTAAAAGGAACATTGTTGTTTAATATCACTGCAGTCTAGCTCTGCAATAGGATACCTATGAATATCTGAAGCCATATTATGGTGAGGAAACCACAGGATTGATTGCCATCGAGGGACTGACCATTCAATAGGCATTAGTTATTTGGTGAAGGGTCTTCTCGGCTTAGGAACAGAGAAACTCCTTGTAGAAATAGAGAACTCATGAAAACAAGATTGCTAACTATTATTCTCCATCAGCAGGTACCAGTTTTAAGACAGGGAGAAACTCAGAAAGCTAACAGTTTGTAGCCACTGAATGAGAATGAGTTGTTCCGTGGATGTATGGTTGTTCACTTGTCTGTCTGGAGTTGTAACTTTTGCCAATGCTATAAGGGCAAGGGACACAGGAGGCAGGAAGCTTTTGACTTTCCCACCAGAGACTGAGAAAGTAGTGAAAAACTACATGTGTTCAGGCTGTGAACAACTTCAAAGTGCAAACTGCCATCTCTAAATATGGGGAAAAGGCAAGCTCACCCATGAGTTTCCCATACCTGACTTGGCAGTGGTCCAGAGTGGTGACTCCATACAAGAAGACGAACAACCCAATGAAGGCTGCTGGGAAGAGCATGCCTGTGTACCAGCCTAGCCAGGCAAAATACAGGCCAATCTTCTCGCCAAAATACCGCCTGTTTGGAACACAAAAACCTTGAAACCACAGTGATGTGTGAAGTTCAGGGTTATAACACTTTGCTAGTAATGTCACTGAGTAGTGGTTTTCCTGGTAAAAGAGACAAGGGAAGCCAAGAGAAGAAACAGCTATCTGTTCAAGTCAAAGCTCTGAGATGAACTTTCTCCTATATTACTGTATACCAGGGGAATAGAATTACCCTGCCCCTAAAAGGACATTGTTATATACCATCTTATTCTGAGAATACAGAATGGATTAGGAGTCAATGGCGAAGGAAGCCAGGTAAGGGACTTCTGTCCTTGCCACCAACCAGATAATGAGCGATGGCAGGAGAAGTGTGAGGATGTGAGGATACAGTCAGATCCAGGGATACAGAGGCAGATAAAGAGAATGCAGCATCTACAGGATGAGGAGAATTTAAGATCTATGTTCTCTAGATGCTCCACAACTCATTCTACTCAAATCTTGGTAGACCAAGTCAAAGACAACAGTCGTCAGCTCTGCCTCTGTTCTGGGTACCTGCTGACCCACACTGAGTCTTCCATTCATCCTAACTGTTACAAATCTTACAAATTCTCACACATATTTTATCTAATTACTCACAGCCTAATAATTTTTTATAGTTGTTTCTAATACTAAGGGCCTTTTTTTTCCTTGCAGGAAACTGAGTTTCTCAACTCCATAGAACATAAAGTGACTATTAAACTCCAATCACAATGCTGTCCTCATGGAGATGGTTTGCTCTAGCGATGCTCCTTAATTTCTCATCAGTTTAATTGTGTAATTAAAGGGGCAGAGTCTGGAGGGAAAATTTGCTTTTACTCCCTCCTCTGCTCCCTAATTGTAACACACACTGTGGCTGGTCAAAGGAACATGACCCTGTCTCGGGAAGTATTTTTTCCTCACTTGAGGCATCTGTATCATTTGGTAACCACAAAGAAGGGTATGTAATTTATCAATAGTTTGGTCTATGCAGAGTAAACATGGTAAACAGGCAGCAATGGCTGTGGTAGGAAGAACAAATATCTGGGGAGATGGAATATAAAGTGTTATCATTCTATTACTCCCTTCTGAGTTCATGTATTTTTTTATTATATGGTATTGTTTTTTATATGGCCCAGATGTAAATAAAACATATCTAGCTAATCTAAGGAATTAGATATGGCTCACTCTTTAATGAGGGATTCATGGTTATGAGTTACTATCACTCAAGCTTAAGAAACAGTCTGTAAATAAACAATGAGATGGCAATGTGTAATACTGCCTTGACACTTAGGACAGATCTAGACAATAAAAACAACAACAAAAATACAAACACACAATTATTATAGGCTACCAGCTGATATATTTTGATCTGCTAATTAAAATAGTCTTTAAAATTATTAGCTTAAGACACCTCAGAATGAAAGTACCACATCTCTCCTATTTCCACAAATCATTGAATAATTGTTGCCACAAATGCTTGATCCATTATAAGGTAGAGGAGGGGCTGGCGCTCTCTTGGGTTGTGGAAAGCATCAGAAGGACAGAGCTGCATCTTCTGGAGCAGAAGTACAACGGTGGTTATTTACTGTTAGCTGTGTAAGTGCTTCCCTGATAAATACCTATTTATCATTAATTTTGGTTTTGGTGGACTCATTTAAACCCCACCATCAGCAGTGTTTCAATTTTCAAATAAGTAGTTTTTGGATTTTGAAGTATTTGCACATAGTGAGTCATCTTTAGGAAAGGATCTAAGTCTAAACACAAAATTCTCTTCTATTAATGGCTATGTATTTTTACTTTGTCTCAGTATTGACTGACCTATCATAGAGGGCGGGAGGGACCAGGTGTGAAACTTTCCCCTTGTTATATCATATCAGTGATCAGAAAATTTAGGATTAGAGAAATATTTTTGGATCTTTGGATCAGAGATAGTCAACTGTGGTAAGTAACATTCTAGACCATCACTAATAAATTTAATCAGCTATTGGAATAAGATTACCATACACGGGATAGGGGTGACATAGGTTAATTTTATTGGGGAGAAATCACTTACATGAGTAACAGAGCATCCAATCTCAGCTTGCCCTCCAAGATTCTACCAGAATACTGAGAGAACCTGTCCCCTCCTCAGGCCTTAAACCTACAAGCTCCCCGTAGGCACCTGTGGCCACGCCCAAATGGGCATGGTCAGCGCCACAGGTACCTAGTAAGATCTCTCCCTACAATCAGCATTACTTCTTTACAGGGTGACTTGCTCCTTACGGAGTCTTGTGGGAGTTCCAACCCATCACTTCTGTCTTTTCCATGGACCCTCCCTGAGGTCCATTGTTTACCAAGAACAACTAATGTCCTTTGAGATACCCTTTGGAAAACCCCAATTTAGAACAAGAGCTTAATGGGTCTTCTCCAAGTAAGTTTCTTCCAGAGGTCAGTATGCCCTTATTTGTTAGTGCAATGTTTATATGTGCAGTTAGTTAAAAACTCACCTTACAAGATCCAAAGGCTGGTATTTATACCACACACCCCAGGAAGCCCAGCACTCATAGAGGAGATGTCGGTGGTTCACTGCGCCATGGGTTTTAATGGAGTTTTTACTTCTGTAACTTCCCTGGGATAAGAACACCATTGCTGGTGAGTGATACAAAGCCACGAGGAACCAGATAGTGACACCTGTATCTTAAGGGAGCAGTGGGGTAAAAGGGATGATGGCAGCTAGAAAGGGCTCGTTCTCTTTGAAAGGGAGGCACTCCCTCCTTAATCCATTATTTTGGATTTATCTTGCTGCCTGTGCCAGCAAGGAAAGAACAAGTGCTTGTGAGAATCAGGTGGGCTGATGCCCACACTCAGTCTTGTTGCTTCCTTACTGGGAGGTCTACCACAAACCTCCTAAAGTCTGAGCTCCATTTTGCTAATCCATCATGAAACTAAAAATATTCACCTCAATGTGTTTCTTCATGGCTGGAATGGCTCAGAGGCCATACCCAAGGCTGTCTAGTTAGCCCCCTACTTCTTTCATGGTAAGGTTTAGCAAGTGGCCATAGCTGTGGCCTTGTCATGTAAACTCACAAACATGAAATTCTTAGAATGTAAAAGCTGGATGCCACCTTTGGATCCTAATAATTCAAAGCTAAATGCAACCTCTACATAGATGTGAGGCCAGAGAGGTGTTCGTGATGCTCGTGGTGATGCCAGTTTCACAAACAGAAAAAGTACCTGTGAGGGAAACTAATTCACAGTAGCCTAGAAATCCTTCCTTGATGGAATTGTGCTGGGAATAAGCAGGCTTGTTTCAGCTCAACCACTAACTCAAAGTGTGACCTAGTGGAGGGTCACCCTTTCTCTAAAGCTCTACTGTCAGTTTGAACATGAAACAAAGGTAACAATAGCCTCATATTCAGCTTCTGAAGGTTGTTTTGAGGCCAAGTAACATAATCACGTTAAATTGAAAGGCAAAGAATGATGGCACCATTACTGCACTGCAACCATGATCTGTAAATCCTCTTCTCATAGAGCCAGGACTGTGCCAAGACTGGAAAGTGCTGAGGAAGACTACAGGTGACTGTAGGGCTGCCTAGCTACATCTCTTCATGCACTTTTATGTCTGCTCACCCCCAGCCACGCACAGGCACAGGGTCGAGACCTGAAGGGGGGTACACAGGGCCTGCTGAAACCCTTCTGCAGACAATGCTAGCTAATAATCACAAGAAGCCACTTGATTTTTTGGATGAATATTAATGATGAAAATTGGGAGCCTGTGTCTCCAGAAAACCATTGTGTCAAAGCTTTGACTTACCGATGCATCAATGTCTCCTGGTAAATTGTGAATAAGGCTGCAGATTATGGCTTCTAGTTTTCTTAATAAAAGAAAAGGGTTCTAAAAATCCTGCCCAACCTTTACATACTCTTGGTGTTAAAAATCAAGAAAAGAAACTTTACATGTCAAAAACATGTATTTTGTCTTATATGCAGAGTTGGAGTACCCTTCAAAGTATATTGGTAAGGATCCCCCAACTCCCCAATGGTCTGACAGGTGCGAGAGGGCAGGAGCTATGTTGTTAGTCTATATGCTTACAGTGACTCACAGTCAGAGCTCAGCCCCATTTATAAAATGATGATTTCTCAATAGTCATGAAGACCATGTTCCTGTAAACCCAGGGACATATGCTGGGTTAAATAATCCAAGACCCATTAGGAAATTCAAGAAAAGGGCCATCACAGTTATACTTAGGAAAGTCATTACAAATGATTTATTAAAGTCCTATTTAGTACTAAGCAAATAAAGACACCAGCAACACTTATACATCTTACAATAATGAATACAGTATTATTAATTTATATTCATTACATTGCTTATCTACTACTTTTGCAAAATAGTTTGCTCTCATTCTTTCAAAGAATAGCTATAAATGTATTTATTGCCAAGTCTATATAGATCAGGAACATTTACCCTCCATGGGTACTTCTTTTCAATGCCTTTTTAATTTCATGACTTAGCGTCTTCAAGTTGTTTCTCTGGATTCATGCTGAGTGACTCTTGATTTAAATGTTCTTTCAGTTACATAAAAAGATAGAAATAAATTGATGCTGAGGGAGAGATGGAGGGATGCAAGTAGACTCTCCCTAATTACTTACTAAACAAGTTAAATCAATTCTGAATGGATGCCTTATCAACAAATTAAAGACTATTCCTAGAAGCCAATTTTAGTAACAAGAAATTGAAGGGAGGTAAGAAAAGGAAACACAATACCTCATGCAGGGGAAAGGCAGCTTCATAGGAGCCATTGGTAAGCAAGCGGTTCAGACCTGAAGCAACAAGGAAGCACATTTCAATGAACATTGAACTTGAGTCTTCAGTGATTCAGACTAAGTGAAGACAGAGTGATGCTTCCTGGAAAACACAGACTAGGTTTTCAATAGTGGGTAAAGCGAGTTTGTATACCAACAGCTTAGAAAGAAACCTTCATTATACACAAGGGCATCCAGATCAAGTGCTGGGAAAACAGGGTTTTATTAATTAAAAATATTAAATTTCTCAAGATTGACTATATCATGGTATATAAAGTGCACACTGTGTCTTGACTACCATAGTAAAACTAATTTATATATACATCACCACCACGGTGTACATCAGATTCCTAAAGTCTGAATATTCTATATTCTATATGTATGTGTGATTACGGAGTATTTGTCTTTCTGTGTTTGACTAAGCCCTCTAAGTTCATTCATGTTGTCATAAGGCTTTCCAATGGATGAATACATTTCCACTCTATACATGCATCACACTATGTTCATCCACACTTGGATTGTTTCCATATACTGTTCTGAATATGCTGAATGAATACAGGTTCACTTTTGAATGTCTTTTTTTTTCAGCATACTGATTTATTTGGCTATGTATCCCAAAGTAGGATTTCTGGAGTGCATGGCAGTCTAGTTCCAATGCCCTGAGAAGCCTCTGCATTGCTTTCTATAATGACTAGGCCCCTTACTTTTCCACCAACAGTGCTCAGGGCTTCCCTTTTCTTCCCACTCCCACCAACACCCATTCTTGTCTGCCTGATAACAACTGTCTTAACAGGTATGAAGTGCTGTATCTTTTGGGTTTTAACTTGCATTTTTCTGAGACTGATGATGTTGAACAGCCTCTCACACACCTGTTGTCCAGTTGTGTGTTTTCTGTGTAAAAGTATCTCTTAAAGTCCTTTGCTCATTTGTAAAGTTATGTGCTTTGCTACTGAATACGTTTATTAAAAATTTTGGCTATCAATCCCTCATCAGAAACGTGGTTTGCAATTATGTCCTCCTATTCTGTAAGATGCTTTTTAATTTTGTCTATTATTTCCACTGCTGGGTAGAGGCTTTTTGAGAATCAGATTTTTGAATGCTTAGTATAGAAAAGCGGTAGGGAATCCACTAGGAGAAGCAGCCCAATGTATCCCTAAAAAGATCATCGTCTGCCAGGCACTCTCCTGACTTTCCCAAAAGATTCCCTGTAGAAACAAAACCTCCCGTGTAATGGGCCAGTGGCACAACTTGTGAAAAATAATTTTCCCCAAAGATCTACTCCTAAAATGGAAGAGAGGGTAGATGTGTGGATTAAAAAAATTGAGGTGAATAAAGAAATTGAGGTATGACTGACATACAATAATGAGGGCATATTTAAGATGCATAACTATTAAGTTCTGATATATGTGTGCACCCAGGAAACCACCAGCATGAGTAACCATCCCTCATGTAGGAGCTATACTACAGCTGAAGGCATCACAGGCAAGACAAGCTACTTGTCTTTGAGAGTGTGGCTCCTGGTACTCAGCTGTACTGCAGTGAATAGCCCCCACACCCACTGAATATACATGTAGTACAAATTGTAGTCAATGGGTTATTTAACTTTCTTTAAAAAAGAGTACATGACATTAGGGGGTATTAGGGAGGTAGGGATGGATCTGTGAGGAGTTGAGGGGATGAGCTGGGGATGAATGTGTTCCAAATACCTTGTATGAAAGTCTCAAAGAGTTAATCAAATCATCTTTTAAAGACCTCTAAAGGCATGGATAGGTTTCATTACTTTCAAGCGGTTTTTATTCCTTTTTGTGAAGAATGTTCTCTATATGTTACATCCTGACCAAAATCTAGTGGCCTAGCCTAACAGGAAGCTGCATGCGCATGGATTCACTTTTGTCATTCAATGTTTGATACTTTTAATCATAGTAACACACCGATGGCTTAAGATGCCTAGCATTAATGTTTAGTTTCAAAGGAGAACACTTAAATACAAATACAAAAATTCATCTAACATATTATATGTGTCCTTCAACAGATACATTTGCAATGAATGAGTAAATTATTGATTATGTAGAAGGGACCTATTAGATAGTGAGAATGCCTTTGTCTAAATTCCACTAATATTTATACTCTATCCCCTTAGCTCTCCTTCTAAACACAAAAGTTGAGAATACAAATCAATTTCAAGAGTAATTGTATATGTACATGTACATAAATAAGTCTTTGTTGAGTTATTAATTGCTCTATTTTGAAAGTGGGTTTTACTAGATTTGATTTTCACAGTTGGAATACACTCAGAACGAGGTTGAAAACCTTATAGTGACAGTTTATCCTCCACTAAAATACCTTTATGAATCATGTCTAGAAATCAATATTCTTGTGCTGCTGATCAATTCTTTCTCATTCAAGGTGACATTTTCAGAAAGGGTTTTCAGCAGAAAACAACATGGGCTGAAAATTAATTCTATCAACAAGTTCAGTTTTCTTCTAACATGTTTTCTTCCATTTATGAAACCAGAGATGACAATGAAATATTAGATAAACAAACCATTTGCAGTTTTACTTTATACTTCCCAGCCAATTACATGGGCTCACAATTTACTGGTTGACAGTTTATTCTTTGATTGGTTTTCTAATTCAACATACTTCATTTCTTCTTTGCCAGTTTTCTGAGCATTTGTTTATTTAATTGTATACTATTTGTGGTGCTGCGAATTAAACCTAAGTCTTGTGCTCTACCTCCTAACACCATCTTTGGCCCCTTGCCGGCTTGGAAGGATGTGGTCCTTGAATAGAATCCTCCTTCTTCAGAACTGAGATAGTTTTCTACCAAGACTCTTCATAACAAGTAACAATGTGGCATCCAGTGCTCCATGGGAATACTGAAATCCAGTCTCTCCTTTCTTTGCGTCTCCTCTGGATTAATTGTGAGCACAGCCAAAACGCGAGATGAAAAAATTTTGGCATCATAATTGCCCCCTGGTGCCACTGTGAAGTTTCTGATTATGTAAGGATGGTGAAAGGGAGCCATTATGTTTAACAGACCTTGGATTCAGTTCAACAAACATTTATTGATTTATCCTTCTAGACAGTAGACACCAATGGTACAAAGATGAGTAAGGTTACTCCTTAAGAGTTAAGGACATGTCATCTTAACTAGTGCTCTTCAGTAGCAGCCATTCAACACACTAGTGTGTTATGAGTTGTATGATATGCTAAAAATAATATAAATGCTACTAAAGGCACTACTTTAGAGTTACTTTTACCTTTTGAAATAGTCCTTAATAGCTCTTTCCACAATCTCACATCGATTCACTTGCTATTTACTATATTTTTAAAACCATGTGAACTGAATAAAATATGACTGAAAGCTGTGCATAACACAACTGAAGTTTGTCTTAATAAATCATTTTAAAAGAATTAACATGAAGAAAGTAATTTAGGCAATATTTTAAAAGAATTAACATGAAGAAAGTAATTTAGGCAATATTTCAGTTATTTAGGAGATCGGTGTCAACAGTATTTCTCATTTGTGTAATGTCATCAAAAGTATCTCAAGATAATAAAATGAGGTGTGTGTGATAAACAATAAATATTAACAAAAAATAGCTGGGTGGTGGTGGCTCATTCCTTTAATCCCAGCACTTGGGAGGCAGAGACAAGTGCATCTTTGTGAGTTCAAGGCCAGCGTGGTCTACAGAGCAAGTTCCAGGACAGCCAGGGCGACACAGAGAAACCCTGTCTCACCTCCCCCCTCCCAAGTAATTCAGAATAAGAGGAATTTTTTTCCAGGCAGAATGTCACCAAACACATAGAAGACATGTCTCAAGGGAGGATGACTGCTGCAGTGACTATGGGCTATGTTCAGTTATAATGCCACCAATGTTAAGAGTGACATACATGAAATTCAATATCCTCAGATCACCTGCCACTGTTGCTCTTTGCATATTCCATTCCACATGCATTCAGATATGAAGTATCCATTTCTCTCCATTATATTTTATTTTGGGGAGTTTAGCATTAAATTAATCCCACCCCCTTTTCCCATAGTTCCATTATGCTAGTGACTCACACTGAACCCGAGTCCATGAAACTCAAATCTATTCCTTTCATAGTGCTATTGGACAACATGTCTCCCACACCCCAAAGGGTAGTTGTTTTGTTGAATCTGTGCATAGGCTACTACATTTACATACTGTTAAATGTTGTGTCTCTGGATTTGGCAAAGCAACTGAGATGTCTGAGGTTGTGGATCCAATGGCTAAAGTGATTTATGCAGCCATCCAGCCTTATTCACAGGAAATGTGATGAGCAGGTTATTTTGCTACAAGTTAGTAATTGTCTAACAATGGATGATTGTCCCTCAGCTCCAGTGGTATCTCCACTCTTCTTCTTAGTGGAGAAGTGGACCTTAAAGGTATTTCTGGATGCTGGGTGACCCAGTGCTAAGCTTTGCCAGTTGGAGGTAATGGGTAAACACTGATGGAGGAAGGGGCTTCACTTCCTAGATCCAGCACTTCCAGAAGCAAATTTCTTCAGCATCTACCTCTCTAGTACTGGCACCTGCAGTGTATAGTGACCAAGGGTATGTTTCTTGGTATCTTTATACATGGCTCCATGGGGTAATGCGTCCCTGGAAACTTCTAGACAGTTGTTTCAAGTGTTCCAAAAAAGAAGACCTTCTCCAAGTCTAAACAAACAGCTTTGCTTCCACTGTAGCACTTATACCAGTTCTAGACCTCAGCCTGATAAGATAGAGGATTGGAATCACTAGAATCACGGAGGACTGGAACTATGGAGGACTGGAACCATGGAAGACTGGAACCATGGAGAATTGGAATCATGGAGGACCTGCTTTTCTCTCCACTCCTGTGTTCCTAATCCTCGGCCAGCCTGTCCTACACAACTCCAACCCCTGCCACAGTTAATTATTTATATTAAGATCTGTTTGTTCAAATGATGATGTTTTTGCCTTCTTGTTGCATCTTGACTGATATAGATCATTATTCAAATAACATTTGTGCTGAGACAGAGAAATGGACAAAGTCACCCAAACCATCCTGCTATATACTAACCTATTTAATAAGGCATGATCATATAACATGAAATTATTATCATAAAATTCCTAAACTATAATGTTTGAATGCTGTTTAATGGGTGAGATGTGACTTATTTGAACAACTCCACCTCTACACTTATGGCTCCTCTTCAGGTGACATCCCACCTTTTCATTATCCCACACTGCCTCTGTCACTCTCAGCTCAGTTCAGATGTCAGCTTCTCAGTGAAGCTTTCTCTACCACTCCATCCCAGTTAGTTCTGCAGTTTACCTTCAAAATGTCACCTCTTAAACTTCCTCATGTTAATCCCTACATTTGTGCATTCTTTTATCTTGTTATATACAAGCTGTAAGAAAGAACTGCATCTATTCCTTTAGTCCCTCATTTACAGGTGCTCTGCAAACATCTGCCGGGTTGAGAGAATGTCTCAGTGGTCATGCATAAATGAGATAAAACGTTGTTCAAAGAAGGTAATTAAGGATGCCAAGTGCACTTGTGAATTCTCCATCAAGGGGGTAGTTAGTGGCATACAGAGGCACAAGGAAAGGGTCTATAGAATCTACAAACACCAAGTGTTTGTAACACTACTCACCGATTTTGTTTTTGCCTTCTTCATACTTTATTCTTTGTAAAATATGATGCACGATTCTGCTTCTTGTGGCATTGTTGAAGAAAGTGTCTTTGTTGTGTATGATGAAGCTGTACACACACAATGAAAACACAAGTTGAAGATTAATGGGAGTTAAGAGAAACTGCCTGTTCTAACTGGGTGCTGCTGGGACAGGGGTATCTTCAATCAGTCCTAGAGGGTATGCCTGGAACAGCATGAAAGAGCCCAGAGATCACACCAGGGAAGTTCACAACTCTGAGCTTGGTTCTTGGGATCTTGGGATCTTGGGCACTGATGTCCTAACAGTGGGAAAGAGTTGGGACTTTATGAAATTACGAAATCTTAAAACACTTTAATAGCAAATTTAGGTCTTGTATCTCATTGTTTTCTCAATAAGGTTAATTCTGTTTTTATCTTCTTGTGTCTTTGGCCCTGCCCTCTCCCATGTTGTATTCACATACTGTTTCAAGGAGTATTGACTTGAGTAATGGAAAATTCAGAGCTAAAGGCCCATGTATCCCCCACTAAACGGTGTTCTGCTCCCTTCTCGTTTTATGACACCATTTACATCTCTGAACACCTTCGATAGTTCTCTATAATAAACCCTAGAGATAAGTTACAAATTTCATTTCCTTCTTCTTCATATCTACATTGTACTTAGAATTGGGACAGTCTATAGTGAGAGCAAATATAGTGGGAGCGAGCCAGACAACATTCTAAGCACCCAAAACACACAAACTCATTCAATCCTTTCAACAGCACATGAGGTAAAGAACCTATTTGCTCAATCTTGCAGGGAAAGGATCAGAGATGGTAAGGCATGCTCTCCAAATCATTTAGCTAATAAGATGCAGAGTCAAGACTAGAACTCAGTTATTCCTGGCTACAGAAGCTAACCTCCTCACTACTTGACCTGTCTGCTTCTGTATATACTTTGGGTAATTCCTAGCTCTTGAAGGTTGGCGCTCTCTGAGGTCAGCCCAACAAGAACTCTACCCGGAATGTCCCTGTTCCCATTCACTTTGTATCTCAGCTCTGACCATGTCTCCCTTGAATACTCTTGGGTGATCCACCTCTCCATCATTAATATAAACTGTAGCATGACATGAAGAAAAGAAAGAAGCAAAAGAGCTACTGCATGCTCAGCATCTCCAGCTCTCCTCTGAAGACTCTGGAGTCAAACAAACATCAGTCTGTTCCCAGCCTTTGCCATGTAGCATGTGGTATTGGGTCATAGTGTGAGTCGAGGTTAACTCATGTTACTCTCAGAGGTTTTTGTAAGAATTAGGAGAGCTGATAAGCAGGTGAATACTTGGAAAGATCTCAAGAGTTAGTGGTCTTCACAGATGTTGGTTCTACTACCCTGTGGCAGTGCTTCACATGCATTCCTGGCTTCTCCATATGAGCTTCTTGGGGGCAGAGACTTCCCATGCTCATTCTGTATTCCTTACAGTAGTATAGGGCAAAACATGCTGATCTCAAAAGGGGCTGACCTTCTGGAGAACACTAGCTATCTTCTCATTACAAAAAAATCACACACACACACACACACACACACACACACACACACACGGACATGAACACTGACTGGCCTGACCAACTCTGGCAAACACATGTCTTAAAGCCACAAGTCTCTGAGAAGGGATCTACAGGCTTAGAAATTTGGCTCTGATCTTATAAATTGCTGAGAGGCTGGTAAAAGAGTAAAGAGTCTTTGGGGGCCATTTGACCATGTTTGTCAATATCATGCAAATATTTTCATATATCTTCTTATATTTTTGGTTGTGAGCCTAGCCTTTAACGGCTGAGCCATCTCTCCAGCCCTCTTCATATATCTTCTAATCTAAACTTCTTTGGAAATGTATTCCACTGACATACTTGCTCACATGGAAAGTAACAGATGTACAGGAATACTCATTATGCATGAATTATAATAGTAAAAGCCAGAAATAGTCTACAAGTCGGGTATAAGATGAACAAGCTGTGATACTACTCCATAGAGACTCTGTAACTGGGAGGAGGCCAACGGTGCTCATGGTAAATATTACAAATGTCCAAATTGAGTCAGACATGGTGACACCAGCACAGTACAGGAGGAAAAAAAGGTTCAGACAGGTAAAGAGCCAGTTGTGTTAAGGTAAGACACGTGCACACAATTGTATTAACACAAACATTTGATGATCTATGTGTAGAATGACTGTGGGAGGATGTATGTTTATATGTGTATGTATGTCTATGTATAATGTACTGAAATGCTAGCTGTCTTGAATGGAAACTAGGGTACCTGGGGGGATAGAATAGAAAGTCTTGTGCCCATTTGTACTGAAAAATCACTATTACTAAAAGCTGAAAAGAAAATCAAGGTGGAATGAATATTGTTATGAGTCTTTTCTTAGTTCTGCCATGAAAGACAAGGAGAATAAATGGTAGATTGCATATAGAAAGACTGTGTGGTCATAGCTTGGAATACTCATCTCCTTATTCTTCCTCTTTACAGGGTTATGTAGTGTCCTAAGACACAGCAAATGACAAGAAGGAATTGAAAAAAAAATCATCTTCTGAGTCCGCGGAGGTGGCACACAACAGTTAAGAATGTTTGCTGTTATTTCAGAAGACCCAAGTTCAGATCCAGCAACCCATGTCAGCCTGTTTATAACTTCCTATAACTCCAGCTTCAGGGGATCTGACACCCTTTGCTGGTCTCTGTAGGCACTCACACACATGTGGCCAACCTGCACACATGCATGTGCACACACATAAAAGAGTAAAAAAAATTTTAAGAAATGACCTGATGAACCCAATCACAAAAAGACAAATGTGGTATGTACTCACTCATATGTGGATTTTAGACATAGAGTAAAGGAATACCAGCCTACAATCCACACTGCCAGAGAAGCTAGTAAACAAGGAGGACCCTACAAGAGACATACATGGTCCCCTGGAGAAGGGGAAAGGGACAAGATTTTCTGAGCAAATTGGGAGCACAGGAAGAGGGGGTAGGGAGCTAGGAGAATGAGAAGGGGAGAAGAGGAGGGGTGAGGAGGACATGAGGGAGCATAAAGGTTGAGTCGGGGGGAAAAATAGAAGAAAACAAGAAAGAAGATACCATAATAGAGGGAGACATTTTAGGTTTACAGAGAAATCAGGCACTAGAGAAATGTCTGGAGATCTACAAAGATAACACCAACCAACAATCTAAGCAACAGATGAGAGGCTACCTTAAATGCCCTCCCCTGATAATGAGATTGATGACTGTCTTATATGCCATCCTACAGCCTTCATCTAGCAGCTGGGGGAGGTAGAAGCAGACACCCACAACTAATCACTGTACTGAACTGGAATCCAGTTGCAGAGAAGGACGAGTGATTAGCAAAGGGGTCAAGACCAGGCTGGTGAGACCCACAGAAATGGCTGACCTGAACAACGGGAAGCTCTTGGTCCCCAGACTGAACTGAACGCTGGGTTACTAGCATGGGACTGATCCAAATGCCGGGAACATGGGTTTCAGTGAGGAGACCTCCTGTAGATAAGTTCAGTACTTATCCCTAGCATAGGTGTGGACTTTGGGAGCCTAATCCACATACAGGGATACTCCCTGAGCCAAGCAAGACACACGGGGGGGGGGGGGGGGGGCCAGGGGGGGGGCTGGGCCCAAACCCA